CCTGCACTAGAATAACAAGGCAGGATTGTTTTCTAGATTTTTGAAAGTTAGTGCATTCTAAACTGTGGCCTGTGGAAACTATGGTTTCACAAGAAGTTGATGGGTTTTAAGGTCAAAATAGTAAAATAAAATATATTTTTTTAAAAAAATAATTCACTCAAATACAGCCAATTTTCTATCACTAGAACTTGGCTTTTTGATTAGGGATTCTGGAATTCTTTTAACAAACAGCTTGAAAATGTTTGAAACTCTTTGCATTAGCCCATCCAAAGTGGGTTCTTTTATATTGCCAGGAGAAAGCACAGTATGAATTAACCATATGCTCTCTTCATTATTATTCCACTTAAAGTCTAGTTTCTCCTTCCTTTTTCAGTTTGCTGGCAAACTTTATCTACAGTGGGCTGATTATGTTTTTAACAATTGTGGGAAGTCCACAAGTCAAGATAGCAAGCCTAGTTCAAACTTACCAAAGACTTTTCCATGTTGTTTTCTGTTATAGACATTTCACATTCTGCAATGCAGAAGTCACAAGGTCACACTAGATAAGCCCATTGCCGCTTGTTATTCCTTGAAGTTGTGATGTTTGTTAAAACTCTTTATTGCTGCGCAAATCAGAATTCAAGTTTGCAAATCATAAATATCTGCAGGAATGCGTCCAAGGTTCCCACTGATGAAACTCTGAGCCGAGGTGGTGTAGCAGTTAGAGTGCAGTACTGCAGGCCACTTTAGCTGACGGTGTTCAGCAGGTCAGCGGTTCAAATCTCACCGGCTCAAGGTTGACTCAGCCTTCCATCCTTCCGGGGTAGGTAAAATGAGGACCCAGATTGTTGGGGGCAATGTAAATATATATATACATTGCTTACTGGTGTACACCGATTAGAGAGTGCTTGCACTTAAAGCGATATATAAGTCTCATAAATAAATAAATAAATAAATAAATAAATTACCTGAAGATTGTCTAGTTAACAGTACAATAATGTTATTTCAGAAATAATAGTTTTCCACCCAGTTACAAGGGACAGAATAGTATTATCCAGCTTCCTAAAAGGAAATGCTGTGTTCTCACTTGTCTTCTTGTTATCTTATTTTTTTTATTATGCTTTTTCAAATCTTGCTTGTATTGCTACTACCTTGCATTTTTTCTCAGAACAGCAAGATTTCATCCTTTTGTTTAAGGACTTGTTCAGACATTCATTTGGTTGTTTATGTCTTGTCTTTATTATTTTTACAAATAAGTCAAGGCAATGAACATATCCAATACACATTTGAGGCACAAACGATCATACTCAAATTATCCCTAGCAATGACTTCTCTAGTCTCTGCAGGAATATACAGTAGTTGTGCAAGAGTTCAAGAACAGAAAGCAATGGTCTGCTGACTTGCAGTGATAAGAAGTATAATATCAGTTGGATGCCAGAATATTTCCAAGTTCAATTCAAAATACCCTTGTTAACCTATAAAGTCCAATATGGCCTGGCTCCTCTTTAATTGTTGGAACTGACTTCCAACACAATGTGTTCATCCTACATGTTTTCTCTAAGAACTGATGGTTCTGATCCCTAACCTGTAGGATATGAGTTTTATCTGTATTGTGTGCATTAAATAAAACTACTAGTAAAAATTACTACTATAGGGTCAGGAGCCTATGTTTTCTCCATGGCTACGCTTTCATTGGTCCTTAACTTCCAGACTGATGGTCTTCAGAAAGATAATCAAAATGAAGTTGGTTTAGTTTGTTGGTAAAGGTATTGGGAAGAGGGCAGGGTCACTAGGTCTGCAACAGAAATGCCATCCGTTTATACATTCATACAGATGGGTAGAATTTCAACATATGGGTTCATGCTGAACATCCTGGTTTTGTTTCTTCAAGATATCAGTGCTAGCCTGGTTTATTTTCTGTTGGAATGGGAGAAATTGATCTTTGCACTGTTATATTCAACTTCATGTTACAATTTTAATGTTGTTTAAAAAAAATGGATTATTCCCATCATCTTCCAATGTTTTATTGTTTGTAAACTGCCAGATGTCTGAGGATGAGGTAATAGAAGCAGCTTGAGAATAAACGGACAGTCACTTTTCTGAGATGGTATAGCTTCTCCTGCTTGAACGGGGGGCTGGACTAGAAGACCTCCAAAGTCCCTTTCAGATCTATTCTATTCTATTCTATTCTATTCTATTCTATTCTATTCTATTCTATTCTATTCTATTCTATTCTATTCTATTCTCAGGTTAGTTAATTACTAAGAGCAGGGCTTTTTTTGTCATAGAACGCCCAGAACGGAGTTCCGGCACCTTTTTTGGATGGAACCTTGTAGGGTAGACAAGGCAGGTTGTATGACATGTGTGAGTTCTGACACCTTTTTTTTTTTTTTTTACAAAAAAAGCATTGACTAAGAGATACCATTTATTTAATGTTGATTTTGTCTTTTGATTTTTTTTTTCACACCAGTTCCCCTAAGCATCAGGGAACTTTTTAAAGAATGCTAGACTTTTTCGTACTTACTTGGCAGTGTAAAATGTGTTTTCCATCATGGAGCTACACCGATACCATCTAGGTAGGTAAGAGAAATTGCCTAGAGAGGGCACTATAAAAATACCATTCTATCTTTTTTTTTTTCATTTGAAGAAGTAAATCAGCAGAATCCAAGAGGTATTTCAATATTTTGGATTTTCCTGTACATTTCTCTTTAGTGGACCACACGTTTCACTGATTTTAAAAGCAACAACAAACAGTGTTGCTTTTAAAATCAGTGGAGAAGAAGTTTGTGTTGGCAAAGAATGTCCTGGAAAGAAAATAATAAGTTGGTCAAAATGAATTTTCTGATCTCTGGATCTATCTAAGATATAGAACGGTCCTAGCTATGTTTGCTTCAAATAGTGCACATACCTCTCAAATGGGTGGCTTCAGATGGAAGGTACATATTTTCTTAGCACAGGGATAGGCAACCTCAGCTCTTTTATGACTCGTGGACTTCAACTCCCAGAATTCCTGAGCCAGCCGGCTCAGGAATTCTGGGAGTTGAAATCCACGACTCATAAAAGAGCCGAGGTTACCTATCCCGGTCTTAGCACAAAGGTACATATTTTCTTAGCACAATGGAGAGAATGCTCCAGCGTGTTTCAGTTCCCAGAGATTTAAAGCTGAAGATAAGAACTCTGCATGATTCAGCAAAAATTAATTTCTAATAAGGATGGAAGTTTTAGAGAGGTCAAGCTTTTCCAAATGGTACTTAAAACAATCATTTCAAAAACATTTTTAATAGCACAGCAATTTCATTGATCAAGAAGTACAGAAGGATAAAATACTACTGGCAGGTTATCAGGAGGTGAAATAACTGGGAAGCTTCAGAAATAATAAAAGCAGCTCTTTAGCTATGCTTCAGTGCCTACATAAATGTCAGAGTAATGTTGAACTTAACATTTGATAATTTCCAATTTAAAAGGAATTTTAAATAACTAATTTTCTCAATAACAAACCATGACATTGGAGTGGGAGATGAGAACCTATACCTGCTAGTTGTAACTGGAAATCATTTCTTTGGGATTCATGGAAGAAGAAAACCTAATACAGTTGAAGGAAAAAGCTTGGGAAAATTTACTGTAGAGTATGAGTGACTGCCTTGTTTAGCGACCATTCGCAGGTAGTGGGAAATAATAATTTTGCAACATTTACAACATTTGCAAATCTGTAATGCAAAGGACAGCTGAAGTAAGATAATAAAATGAGGAAGTTCCACTTAGTGACCACTTTGTCAACAACTGAGTTGCTGGTCTCATTTGTAGTTGCTAAATGAGGACTATCTGTATATGTTCAACATGACACATATATTTTCTGAGGAGTGTAGTACCCAGTGCAGACAAAGATCCTGCACATAATACATACTTTAAGTATAAACACTTCGCTCTGTATAGGTTATGATTAATCTGGAAGGACTGACATTGGCATTCTGAGAAAGAAGGAAATCCCTCCTCTTTGTGCTTGTGTGTGTGAAAAAGGCTAAAACATAAAGTACTATTAAGCCCAGTTTTCATAGAAATCTAATATGCAAAACCTATACCAGTGATGGCGAACCTTTTAGAGACCGAGTGCCCAAACTGCAACCCAAAACCCACTTTTGTATCGTTGGGTGCTGGGTTGGGCGTGGGCCATTGGGTAGGTGTGGCCCATAGGGTGGGCATGGCCCATTGGGTGGGTGTGGCTTTAGTGGTAACAGCAGACTGGGTGGGACTAAAAAGTTCAATCAATGAATTCTAACTTTGCGAAATCTTTTTTTTCCTACAAGAAGTTGAAATTGATTGATTGAACCTTTTTTTTTTTTGGCGCACGTTGACGGAGGCCTAAAGCAAAAGGTTTTATAAAACCCAGCTGAAGGCCTAGGACTGGGGCAACGGTGCGCGTGCCACCAAGGACTTCTGGTTTTTTTTCCTGTTTTCTCCTGCCTATCCTAAGAGCAGGAACAAGTGGTTTTCTAGGCTTTAAAGATATTTACCTCTTGGCTTGTGATTTTTCATTTATTTTTCTGCTCAAAAAGATATTTCTTTAAAATTTTTAATGAACAGGAATACAATGCAAATTACTCTAATTTCCATTCTTAAAATCTTTCAGCTGCTCAAATAGTATGTAAACTATCATGAGAAAAATCCAATCATTCCCCTTCTCCCTAGTGTTGGTAGTGTGAATTACAAGCCATTTTGAGGAATCTTGCTTCTAAAGCAGGGGTGTGAAACTGCCGGCGCATGGACTGGATGCATCATAGCGAAACCGCATCCTTCCCATTGCTGGCAATGGCAAAAAAGTTGCGATATGTTGCAACATGTCATGTGACATTGCATTCTTGACACCCCTGTTCTAAAGGCTTCCCTCTCCCAATCCAACCTCCCAAACAGGGGAAGCATCCAAATTTTGCTGGGGAATGATGACCCCTCCACTGATGTCACTTGCTGCCTTTAAGGCAATTGGAAGCGAAATTGCAGCCTCCAGATCCAGAAAATTGCTCACCTTCAGCTAGGATGACAAGTAACTTAATCCAGAGCGAGACTATGTTCCTAGTTTCAGGTGTTGTCCAGTGGTGAGAGTGGTGGATTTTTCTAGAAATTTAAGCAGGAAGAATTGCAAACGTTTTCTGCAGGAAGCTGGGACAGGCCTCTGTTCTGGATGGCTTGTTCTCAAAGTGAAATTAAATAAAATAATAGGAAAAATAAAATTAAAAGGCATGCCTTTTTTAAAAAAAAGTGTGAATGGCATAACATGCATTGGGACCTTAATATTGTCAGGAAACAGCTTTTCCGGAAGCTATTAAGAAATTAAGCTGTTTTGAAATCTCTGCTCTATGGATATGTCAAGATTTAAATGCTAGATGCTATTCTTACAATAATAGGCTGGTCCTGTAAAATAATTCCTTCCCTACTTGCTATGTAAATCCCCTCTCCCTCATGGATGGAAGGAGTTACAAAACCACAAATGTTATATGCCTTTCAGGATGTCTTCTTAATCATTTGCTGTGGTTTCCCCTCTCACCAATTAAATGGAGGACTCAAGAGTTTTTTTTTTTCAATGTTTGTTTGTTGCAGTCAAAACAATGAAGTATACATTGGCATCTGAAAAACAAACCCATCAATTATGGATGGAGAGAGCAGTCTGCAGGTTTCCAAATACATTTTATTTTAAACTGGAATTTAAAGGCCCCACTGCAGAACAAAGGGTGTCCGAGAGGCATCAGGAATTTAGATGGAGGGATTTTCCATGCAGGTAATCCTCAACTTATAACCCTTCATTTAGTGACCATTCAAAGTTAAGACAGCATTTTGAAAAAAGTGAGTTATGACCATTTTTCACACGTATGACAGTTGCAGTACCCTCATGGCCATGTGATCAAAATCCAGACACTTGGCAACTGGCATGTAATATATGACAGTTGCAGGGTCCCAGGGTCATGTGATCACCTTTGGTGACCTTGGCAAGCAAAGTCAATGGGGAAGCCAGAGTCAGTTTACAACTGTGTTACTAACTTAACAATTACAGGACAGTTGTAAAATGGGGCAAAACTCAACTCAACAACTGTCTTGCTTAGCAGCAGAAATTTTGGGCTCAATTGTATTCTTAAACTGAAAATTAGTTGTACTTGCAATGACCTAGAGACAATCATATCCTGAAGATATTTATTTTTTTGTGACCCCCTGATGTTTCCTCTCCTCTCATTTTATCCTCTGCATTGGAGAGAGACAGGATTAAATTGTCCTTAGGTATACTGGCATTAAAGGAATGTATTCTCTTATTCTGATAACTGTATGTTGTACACCACACCTAGATTAACTTTCTTGTGAGAAGAGTGATTATATGGCGTTTAGTGTAGTGCAGGGGTCTTCAAACTTGGCCCTTTTATGACTTGTGGCCTTCAACTCCCAGAATTCCTCAGCCAGCATGAATTCTGGGAGTTGAAGTCCACAAGTCATAAAAGGGCCAAGTCTGAAGACCCCTGGTTTAGTGGTTAAGGCACCAGGTTCAGAGACTGCAAGTTCTAATCCTGCCTTAGGCAAGAAAACCAGTTGAGTGATTTTGGGTCAGTCACTCTTTCCCTCAGCCCAACTAATGGGACTGCTGGTGTGTGAATAAGAGGAGGAATTAGGTTTTGTCAGAGTACTTAAGTTAATCTCTGCAGTTATTAAGCAAATCATGCAATCATTAAGCATATCTGGTTTTCCCTATTGACTTTGCCTGTCAAAAGCAGGCTGGAAAGTTTCCAAATGGTGATCACCTGACCTGGGAGAGTGCAACTATCATAAATACATGCCAGTTTCCAAAAACACTTGAATTTTGGTCATGTGACCAAGGGCCCGCTGCATCGGTGGTAAGTGTGAAAAATGGTCAGGGGTCACTTTTTAAAGTGCTGTTGTAACACTGAATGGTCACTAAATGAATGATTGTAAATCTAGGACTACCTGTATTCCAGAAGAATACTAAGCTTGCATCCAAAGGGAAGCTGAACATGGATTTGGTAGCATTGCCAAGAGCACTAAACTTTGAATCAAAAAGATCCTGACTAATATACTTAAGACCCACTGATCAGTCTCTATCACAATTTGGGGACCAGGTGAAAGTCATATCAAGGCAGCATGGGGGGGGGAGGGGAGAGAGAAGGGAAATACTGCGAAGGCATCACTTGTACTGAGATTAGATGCAAAGAGGTAAAGGTCCTAAGGAGAGCAACAAGTTGACAAAGTCGCAAATGCGATCCTGTGGATTATGTGCAACGTGGGTCGCTCTTTTCACCTCAGCCTGCTTCTAAATTTCAGACAAAAGGGTGTGTGTGGGGGGGAATGGAAACTTGTTTTCCAGTCTTCGAGCCTACAGCGGGGCATCTGAGATCTTTCAGTCTGTTATTAATATTGGTAGATAAGCGTGGCGGGGGAAGGGCTTGGAAGGAAAACCTTTTCTTAACAACTCTCATCCGGCCTTTCTGCCCGCGAGATTCCCGATTAGTTTTCTTTTAAGAATTGGAATGGTAGGAAAAGTCGTGCGAAGTTTCTCTCACTCCCCCCCCCCGGAGTCTCTTCCAAACCACGGCACATCATCATCACGCGTAAAAGTTTTCTTTCGCAAACCGTCACGAGAAGGAGAAGCCGCAGCAACAGCCCACCGCTTCCTTCTTAAAAAAAAAACTAAACTTCTTAAGAAAAGAAAAAAGCCGAGGGAGGGGTGGGGGGTGGTGGAAAGAACCCAGCTCAGTCACGTGACGAAGGGGAGGGGGGTGGTACGGACCTGGCTCCCAGCCAGTGGCAGAAGCTGATGGGAGGAACCAACGGAGCGTGCAAAAAGCCAACATGACTAACGGATCGCGGAATGGTGTGAGTCCTTATGTGCTTGGATCTCCCGGAATGTAAGAGGAGGCAACCCGGCGGCTCTTTTCAGTCTCCTGCCTCCGAGTGGATCTGTGACTCCCAAAGCAGAGCTCTGCTGCTTTGGGGAAGGGTTAAGGAAGGATAGAACATGGCCTGCATTTTGAAGGTAAATCTCTATCTGTTGCTTGGATGGTTCCAAAGAAAGGAGAGGTTGAGAAATAAATAACGCGAACGAGTCCCGTTCGCTGCTCCGAGAAGCCCCCCCTACCACCACCCCCGGCTGCATTTTAATTGGAAAAAAAAATCTGATTATTATTTTTTTCTCGGTACCTCTCTTCTCCCCGGCCAGCAATCTCCGCTGGAAAACGGAATGCCGAGAGATTTTCAGTCGCGCCGCCGATCCTCTCCTCTGCTGCTCTTGTTCTCTTCCTTGCGCCGTCGCTACTGCCATCTCTCAAAGCTAGTGGGGATGGGAAGGAAGAAGGAAAAAGAAGCGGCGCCGAATGCGGCAGTGGAGACAAGGCAAGGGACGGGGAGGGAAAACCGCTGGCCGATTCCATCCAGACATTAACCTTACACCGCCGGGCGCCTGTAGGATCCGCGGCGGGGAGAGGATCCGTCCTTTCTCCTCCTTTTGGGAATCTATGGCGCGAATCTCGCGCTGTTTTCAGATGTACAAGTTGCTCCAGAAGCGCGCACATAACGCACATTTCCCCCGTCCCTCCTCTTGTCTCGATTTCAGCAGAACCAAAAACGTGTCCCTTACTCATCGGAGGCAGGCGCCCTCCACAGCCTCTGGTTTCTTCTGCCCTTCTCCCTCCAGAAGGAGAGAAAGGAACCATAACCAAATCCTTTCTGCTTCACTATCATCCCTTTGTTTCCGTCGCCTCTTGCTTTTGGACTAGTTTTTAGATCAGAAGTAGGTTGACACCCAAGAAGGAGTTGAATCCAGTAGAAGGAAACTGAGGAGGAAGAAAGGAAGGGCAAACATTTACATTAAAAAAAAAGAAATAATATAAATAAAATCAGCATTGGAAGTGCTCAATCTCTCCATACCTGTTAGGGTTAAAAGGATTTGAATCCTGTACTTTTTGGCCTTTTCTTTCCTACCTTTGCTTTACTCCCAAATCCACGCCAATAGTCCACTGAGCTGAGGTGGATTTACAAGCAAATTTCTTGATCGGTCCTTGGAATTTCCTACACAAAGCTTTGGGTTCCACTCAGCAGAATTGTTGGTTGAAATAAATTTAGGTTGAATAAACATAGGTTGAAGTTCAGAAGGCCTTCGTCCAGATATGGAAATATTTTAATACCATAAAAGTTTTGTTAGCCACTAGATTCATATGATAAATGCAGCATCTTGTTTTCACAGGCCATCAGGGAGTTAGGAGAGGCTTACTTTATTGCAATCCTGTTTAGCAAAATAAAACTAATCTGCAACAAAATATCATCTAGCGACTCCAATTTTATTATTGGTTCCCCTTGTTTGCAAGTTACTGATTCTGCTGTGTTGGGAGAGGTTGTGTTAGAATGATAAAACTAATCAATACAGATATAATCTCAAGTGTGGTAGTCTTAATCTAAGACCAGTGCATTATTTCAGCATCCACAGAGACTTAACTTTTATTAAGCCAATGATTTCACTGGACAACCCCCTGCCCACTAAGAAAAAAATACACTATAATAAGAGAAAATGGGAAGGAAAGGAGGATAGAAAATGGGCAGTCCTAGGCCACTCAGAGTTTTAAACATCTTGTATTCATATACTTAAGCATATTGTTTTGTTCTTGGATTCAGTAATATGAAATCTTATGCTGTATCCAGATATCCAATTAATATTATTTACAACCAGGTCAGGAACATACTGATACCATTATTAAAAAAATGTTTTCAAACATTTAGGGAACATTTTGTTTAGTTCTTTTACCCTCCACCTCTCTCCAGGTTGTGTTCAGATTCCATGTTTAAACCATTTATGCTTTGATGTGATTAATATTGCCTAGATAAGCAGTTTCCAACCTTTTCTATATACCACACCCCTAGAACGCTTCTGATATATTCTCGCACCCCTTACAAAAGTTCGAATTATGCATATACACTATAATTTTGAAACTTCTAAACCCACGTTTTTGAACCCCCTGGAATATCGTCTTCCACCTCCAAGGGGTGCCACCCCCAGGGGGCACCTCCGGTTGGGAACCCCTGGCCTAGATGAAAGGTGTGATGGGAATCTCAGTGTCAATACTTTGAGAACTTTTAAACATAATAAAAACTAGAGACAACTATTTTTTAAAGATAAAAAGCATTTCACTAATTGCATATATTTCTTAATTCTTATATATTACATTTGGATTTTAAAATATAAAGCCTGTTCGCAGACTTAATTATAAATTAGTCTACCTCCTACTACTGAGATATAGCTTTTCCCGAATGTTGTGTCCATTTCTTTTCTATATTATAAAAGAAAAGGAAGACAAACAAGACAATAACCAAATATATTAGTTAGCTACCAATAATTTTATTAATGCAGAAAGGTATAACATTTTAAAAAGAAGAGATACTGGGTGATCAGTTTTATCATAAAGCAATTTTCACAGGTCCAGCAAAACTTCTTACACAGGAATGAAATTCAGTAACTAGATAAGTTTTATTTATATCAAGATGTTCTGATAATCTAATCTTTATTTTAAGTTTTCATGAATGGATTTTTGCAACAGAACCCCTTATTATTTCTCTCAGCCGACAAAAGAAGTAATGGCAACTCACTTCCAAAATCTTCCCATGAAAACTGCAGGGATTAGTGCAGAAAATGACCAGGAATCAACACTGACTCAAAGGCACCCAATAAATGTACTGTATTACATATGTATGTCAGCTTTGACCTAACTGAAATTTTGGCCTCCAATTTGAGTTCACATGTGAATGTTGAGCGTGAATAGAACTAAGCTATGCTTGGTTACTCTTAAGTTCCTTTAAAACTTTCCAATTAGACAAGCCAGTTGAAGGAATTAACATTATTAATAAGCAGCGATGAAAGGAAAGGAAATGTTTAGCTATAAATATTAAGGTTCTGAAGAGGATCAAAGGAGTGGCTGACTTTGATGATTCTTTGAGTGAGGTCCTCTTAAAGTTCACAGCAAAGCTGCCTTAATGTTGCATGCCACTCCAGTTGTCTTCTCCACCAGGAGCTACTGGACAGGCTGATGCAGGCTGGAAATGTAGCATAAAATACCTTTTCAGATCAAATTGTGTAACTTCTTTACTTCAGTGAGACAAATAGTGCTCCCTTTGGGATAGGAAGTTCTAGTCAGGCCCACCTCTTACAGGCTAGTGATTGTAATTCCCATTAGACATTGTTACTGGAAGGAGAGGAGAGTCCGGATGATCTGTCTAAAACCTTTCTTTGAAGCTAAGTAAAATTTGTCTTATTTTGAGCTTAACTCCTCATGATCCCTGTGAAATTTTCTTGGTAACAGTTATGTGTTACCGAAATACCGAACTTTTGTTCCTAACCCTACATGACAAATCTGAGAAATAACCAGCTACAGGCAGTCCTTGATTTACAACAATTGAGGGAAGCCAGATTCATTTCATGACCCTGTGATTTTCTCAAGAACCGCAGGAAAAAAAAAAGTCATAACATTGGGCACAATCATAAGTTAACTCAATTAATGCTTAGTAATGGAAATTCAGGTCCCATTGTAGTTATACACTGAAGATTACCTATACTTTGTAGATACTGTATTCACTCTCTATGAATTGGGTCAATGATTGGCTCACTTTAATTTCTCTCATAACTTTTTACTCAGTTTAAGTATTCAAGGAAACTAAAAATTAATACCGAAAACTGAGAAGATAACAGTTTCAGAATACAAAGCAAAACCAAGACAAACGCTAATGACAATTTTCTGCAAAATAAATTAAACACCACTTGCCAGTTAACTAAACGGTACTGAAACATGCTGCTGTATAGTTACAATTTGCTTATTTTATATCTGCCCCATCTCTGAATTGTGACCAGTGAGTTGACAAGTGTGGAGGGAGTAATTTTCAGCAAATTCCCCTTTAACCTATGATCGCAATAAAATATTTGTCACAAAGGATCCTTGACCTTGAATTTGTGGGTGGCCAATCAAAATTGCACCACGACTTTATAATTTCATGTGAATGCTGGTTATGTACATCATTATGTACATAATGTACATAATTCAGGATGATGATAGCATGTATATTGTTTACCGGACTTCATTCCTGTAAATTCAGAAGCCAATTGGCCAATTCCAGTGTTATGTTTCTTAACTTGCATATTTATAGGCAAATGTTTGCAAAGGTCACTGCATTTGCTTGTTCATTGTCATCAGTGATGGAGATCCTTGCAACAAAGCCTTGCCAAATCAGTATACACTCCTTTAATTGAAGGCCCACACTACAAATATTGGTCCCTGATTTGAATTATTTTGTCAGACAAATTATTTGTAAGCAAATAATTTGACCTCTCATTATAAATGTATACATATATATCACCAGTATGTTAAATTCATTGTTTTAAATGCAAGAAAAGAATGAATGGCAAATTTGACCCTTAACATGAGACAGACTGCATAAGATATAAAGAGATTAGACAAAATCTGAGTCTGAATACATTGTACTGCTCAATGTATTATTTTCCCCCATGGCTAATGTGAAGATGGTATAAATAGAAATAAAGGAATATAGATTTTCTTGTTGCATTCAGTTTGTGGAACTAGTTCTTATGGCTCTTGAAATCAGAAAAAGAGCCATATCACCCTCTAGATCTTCTTGTATGAATACTTATCTGTAACTATTGTTTGAGCATTTAGGGAAGTGAAAAGATAGTAATGATTCAAACAGTGATCTTTCTCATTATCAGTCAAAAAAACTCTTGGGAAATAGAAACTCCTTCATTCTGATATGGATTCATTACTACTTGACATAAACAAATACTTCTTAACTATGATGCTCTCATTCTTGGGATGACCAAATAAAGCATTCCAAATTCAAGATAAGATAGACTTGTCCTGGCCTATCTTCAGTGAGCTAAACCTGTATAAGGTATCTCACCCCGTGGAATGGAACATCAATCCAGACCTAACTGGTAGGGTGCTTCATTTTTCTGGATGTCTCTGACTGGCAAAAGTGATATAAGTTCTCTCTTTCTATATTTCTATATAGAAATATAGAAATTTCTATATTTGACTGCTGTCTCATGTTATGTTATTGTGTCATTTTTTAAAAAAATACTGCCTTGTAATAAAGCCACCTGAATCAAAAAAGAATTTGTGACCCAACCCTGTTGAGATGAGGACAGAGGAATACATTCACATTCTGGCTTACTAAATGACAGACATATTTCAAATTTCAAATATTGGGAGTATGTGCCTGAAAAGGTATTGCAAAATAAGGCTATAAAAGCATGATGGTTATTACATGGTTTGAATTCAAACTGATAAGCACTTAGAAAAGAATGCAGCAGACATTACTATGGTAGAAAGTAAGAGTCAGCAAGCTAGAAATTCCCAGTTTGGCTATGTTGCTTTAGGGAAAGCAAGTTACTTGCAGAAATGTGCACAAGCTATGATGCCTTTATCAAAAGGATGAAAACTGTTGTACTTTGAACTTTGTCCATTTTCAATGTATGTACGACATCATAATATACATGCAAAATGAGGAAAGAGTTGTATGACAGTAAAGTGATGGTGTTTTCTTTATGTGTGCCCCATTAGCCATTTGCTTGTCAAATCTGAAACTGATATGTGATGAGAGATGAGGAAATGGCTGTAGACTGTTTTGCATACCATAGTTTATTATGGTGGTTTCCCAACTATGAATCTTTTTAAAGGAATCTGAATTTATTTCTGCATTATTAGTTTATGAAGTATGGTGCAAGTTCATACTAACTTCTCAAGGGCTGTGTTTCCATCAGATATTCTATTGGTGGAAAGGTTTGCCTCTTCAACTCACTAGGCTAACAATTAGTGCGTGCATGGAGCACAAATATTGTAAATGTGACAAATTGTATTAGGCATGCCTTCCAAGTATTTACAAATCCCTAGCCCCAGCTTTGAAAAGCTATCGTATGTGGGTGGTAAATGAGATTCTGCTTGAGAAGGTGTTTGAGGCTTCCATAATCCTTTGCCAGTGGTCTGGAGATGATGTGAAGTGGTGGATATGAAGTTACAGTATTGCTTCTTGAATATTTCTTGCTACTTTTTACATAAATTATCTTGATCTGATTGTATATATTTTTCTTTTGCGAAGAATCTATCTATCTATCTATCTATCTATCTATCTATCTATCTATCTATCTATCTATCTATCTATCTATCTATCTATCTATCGGAATATGATTTAGCTTCTCATTTTGTTTTTTAAATTAGCACTGATGCTTTCCATTCTTGGAACCTGGTCACAATAAGGAAAGAAGGAAATGTTGATTAAACACTTGTATCGTGTGAATTGCTCTGAAAATAAATGAGTCAAAACAAAAGTAATCCATGACACTATCATAATGAAACCCAGCTGGCACTTTTTGTAGACTTCTTGGTCCAAGATAGCATTGCTTGTTTTGTTCCCGAGATGTCAGTCTTTCATAAATACAACACACAAGTTATTATGTGAAATTAGTTTTTTATTTTAAATTTATACACATGCAGGAACTAAATTTAAGAATCCAGAACAGGCCTCCCAGATTTGGGTTGCAAAGTTTGAACAACTGTTAGATGGCAGCAAAAAGTTCTTTGCCATCATTTTCCTGGTCCACTAGATATTTGCACTCCATATCTGGCAGCCGTAGCCGTAAAATATATTTCTATTATGAGCTCATTAATATTTCTTTTGGACGTTATGAACTTAATCCAAATAAAAGAATAATTGTTTTACAGTAAGATAGCTGTTTTATTTGCAACTGTTGCAAGATCTGTGTTGCATGTTGCAGCTCCTAAAGACATGTTGCAGAGGTCCCCAACCTTTTGGA